AAATCTCTAAGCATCGACGAAACCTTCTGCATACTCAACCTATCCATTGGTTTCCTCTGGATGCAGAGCAGAGCTATTCTCAAGCAGTTCACCAACTTGCAAGTAGAATTCGAGTCATCTAGTGAAGGATCCATGATCTCCATCTCTCTACCTTCTTTCCACAGTTCATATGCCTGCCACCAATCAATCAAGAAATGAAAGTTACAGAGTTGTCTTCCAACCCTTTCAAAGTGCCTTATGATTTGGATCTTACATAGACATGAAGCTCTAGATCTCCGTTAGGACCGTACTGGGAACCACATTTCTTGCCGCTTATGATCTGCAGAAGAAGGATCCCGAAGCTGTAAATGTCAGATTTCTTGGAGTACACGCCATTCTGCAGATACTCTCGTGGGCAGTAAGCTCTACAAAAACAACAGGATTGAGTAAATTGTACTAGTATATTAGCTTCATTGTTAATCTTAGAGATTATTAGGTCACCTTGTGCCAGCAATTCGCTCAGTGTTAGCTTCTGATGCATCTGTCGTCAAAATCCTGGCCAGCCCAAAATCAGATATCTTAGGCTTTATGTTAGAATCCAACAAAATGTTGCCCGGTTTGAGGTCGCGATGAACAATTGACTGGCCGGAATACTCTTGAAGGTATAAAAGGCCTTGAGTAACTCCTTCAATGATTTCCACTCGTTTTGCCCAATCCAACAATAAGCTCCTCACCGGATCTGATAAATGAAGAGATGTAACTTAATCATCATTCATCAAACTGGAAAATTAGAGTTAACATTTGTCTTCATCATCAAATCATTAATTTTATGGATAGAGTATATGATAATACTGACCGAAGAGGTAATGATCCAAGCTGTTGTTAGGCAAGTACTCATAGACCAACATCCGCTCTCCTGCGTCGATACAGTACCCTATAACCCTGACCAGGTTGACGTGTTGTAGTTGTGTTGTGAGCATTACTTCATTCTTAAACTCCTCGTCTCCTTGGGTCGAGTTTCTCGACAACTTCTTCACCGCTATTTCCCTTCCGTCGGCCAACACTCCCTGCATAAGCATATTTTAGCGAATATTTGAAAATGATCACATGCATAATTTAGAGCGAGGTGCGCGTATGTGTGTACCTTATAAACAGGGCCATATCCACCTTGTCCGACCTTGTTCTCAATGGAGAAATCATTGGTAGCTATCTCAAGTTGTGTGAAGCTATATCGAACCGCCGACATTTTAGGGTTCTTCTCTCCCATTTTACCCGCGAAAAATGCTTCTGCATCCCTTCCTCCCTTTCCTGCAAAATTATATAAGTCAACCAGACCATGTTAGTAATAAAATAAAATAAAAATGTAGATATAATATACCAATTTTAGAAAAAAATCACTTAATAGATCATCGTAATTACTTCTTGATGAGCGTTCTGATGATCTTCTCAAACGACGTCGTTGCCGCACGTAAAACATTACCATCCCAAAGGCAAATACTAGTCCTAGGATAACGGGCAAGAGAACATATAACAGCAACCTCTCTGATCTCTTATTCGTCATTTCTCCTCGAGTCGTTAATATATGAGCAGTTAAAGCTGTATATCATACTTATTCATTAGTTATGATCTTCAATCGTTAGATGCACCCCAAACATATGGATTCTTGAAAACATTTTTGCAAACCTGTGATAGAAAGAGTCCAATTATCATCAGCACCGACATGCCAAGCGTAGTAGCCAAGCAACCCTTTGTTGTTAGCATAAGCGACCTTCGTCGAAACGCTCCGAACGTCGTCGTATCCAATCCACGTCGTCCCGCTGTAACAAAAGTCCGAAACCACCGTCGAATTGAACACTCTGTTCGCCCTGTTCTGCGCAATAAACGAATTAATCTGATCGTACCCAGCATACCCAGCCGTCGAATTGAACAATTCGCTCTCCCCACTCGCCGGCGAGTAAAGCCCCTGGTTCCTGGCGTCGGCGAGTTGCCACGACCACCCGTAGAACGGAATTCCGAAGACGATTTTGTTGGCGGGAAATCCGTATTCGATCCAGGAGTTCACCCCTTCGTCGCCGCTCTCGCTGCGGCCGGGATTGTACAGCGCCGCCGGCGTGTCGGTGGTGTTCGGCGACCATCTGGGGCCGTAGAAGTCGTACGCGATAAGGTTGATCCAGTCCACGGTGTCGGATATTGTCTGGACAGGGTATTGGATGGAGGGAAGGAAGTAGTAGGATAAGTAGAGGACGGCGGCGGACAAAAGCAGAGGAGGGTTGCCGGAGCTCCTGGCCTCCGTCGCCACGGCGGCTCGCCATTCCGTGAGGTGGGCTCCGAAGTTGGCCATCTGGGTTGGGTCCGAAGGGTACTGCCGTATGAAATCGAGGCCATGGAAATTGTATGATCTTGCTGTAAAAAAAAAAAAAATTAAAACTTTGATCAAGTTGAAATGTTGTTGTCAAATGTTTGTTTCTACTGATCAGGCAATCGGAAGATCAAGAAAACGAGAAACGAGAAACGAAATAAGACACACGGGTTTACTAACACGATTGCGTTACCATTATAAAAAAAAAAAAAACACGATTGTGTTAGCTAGTCTATGGGTAGGAGGGAGCCGATTTCACTTAATGGAGGATTCAGAAATTTTATATAGGGATGTTCTCTCTAAAAAAATAAATTTAATTAACTATTAAAAAATTGAATAATTATCAAATATGAAAATATTCGAGTAGTAAAAGTTACAATAAGAGTTCAAACGTGTTTCGTATTATGAAAAAAAATGATAAAACACATTTGATATCTACACTGCTCAACAAATTTCTCTCGGCATATCGTATTAAACTTAATCATTAAAGTTTTAAAATAATTGAAGATAAGAATACTATTATATTTGGATTTAAAACAGCACAACAAATGAGTTGTAGTATAATTGAAAATATGTTTACGTGTAGTAGCAATGTCCCAAGTTCAATTCACATAGACTACCACTTAAATATTATTTGTACTCATACGCAAACTATTACGAGAGGTTGGATAATCATTTTACCAAATTTTAAGGGTGTCCCGTTGCCACTACAATATTTTTTCACCAATACACAAACTACTATCGGAGATTGGATAACCGTTTTCCCAAATTTTAGTGGTGTCCCGCAACACCCTTAAACTTCCATGTATCCGCCACTGATTTCACTATAAATTTAAGAAATACTCTGACTTTCAATCGTCAGTAAATAATCCAATTCAAGCAATATCAACACAATATCCAAAGCAGTATTCAAGAAAATTTGCATCTCCTTTTACTTGAATACTCACCAAGGCTTATGGAGGAATCGATGAACGCCTTCCTCCTACCCGGTTGACTAGCCATGGCAGCCAAGGTCGTGGTGTTGGCGTCCCCGCCGCCAATGGTGAAAAGGGTTCTCACCGACGGGTTCTGCCGCTGTACCGTCCGGGTAAAACTAGAGAATTCCGGCTCGTACGCGGAGGAGACAACGACCCCGAAGTTCCCCGAAATAACTCCGGCGAACCTACAGTACAGGTGAGTGAAGAGCGTGGAGTTGATGGCGGAGGCGGCAAACCCACTTTCCGGGAACCAGTAGCCGGCTCTGACGACGGTGGGTGCTTGAGCAGCGGCGGGTCGGAGGAGGAGTAGAACCAGCAGCGCGGCGGCGGAGAGGGAAACGGTAGGTAGCCTGGAAGGCGCCATTCCTTAGAAGGAAGACAAAGCAGGGGAAAAACAGAGGAAAAGCAGAGGAAAAACAGAGGACGCATTTGAGATGGAAAATGACGAGAGATTCTATCAAATAGAGAGGAGCTTTTACACTGATGGTGAGAGTGGGACATGAATTGGGCTTCCAAATGCAGTGTACGAACCGACACTTAGTCTTTGAGACCGTAGACTTTGACTTTTAGCCTAAGTTCTTACGAATCTGATTTTGGTCTCATGAGATTGATCAGTGATGATGCAATAGACACAGGTGAGTGGAATTCTCGTCTGTTGTCTCTCCAGGAGGATGCTTTAGAGACAGGCATGGTCACTTATTAGGGGCATTCTCGGTGAATCTAAGAAGATGTACAATCACTCGCACGAGACGTCGAATACAGGATAGTCGAGCTTTAGCTAGACTCTACTACGCCTATTCGCTTATGTTATAAACGCGCTGCTATGGATTGGGAAATCGCCGAAATCGACAAAGCAAGAATACGAAAGCGAGAATCGAAAACACGATACACGATTTACGTGGTTCACTAACACGATGTGTCTTAGCTACGTCCACGGGCGAGAGAGAGCCGATTTCACTATATCAAGGAGATTACAGATTACAGAGGAGTATGAGAAGTATTTATAGTACTTCTCCATGTGGGTCTAAACCTAATCCAATCTGCCAAAGGAAACAGTTACAGACCAGGCCCAGAACCCGAACCCAAATAACATTGAGCCCATACACCATGGGTCGGGGGCTGATAGTCCGATTCAAGTCATATCAACAGCTTACTCTCGGCGGATACACCAACTATCACCTATGTGCTAGCATCATCCTTGATTTTCGGAACTACAGCAACGGTCGTGGGAGGTGCGCGACTTCAACACATCTATAGGGATGCCTATTTTTTTTTATCCAACTGTTTAGCCCAAAAGGATCACCTGTTAGACTTTGGCCATTGACTTTTGTACGACTCGATTGGTGACTTTGTCGTCCGTTTGATTACTTAATTTTGCCACAGTAATGCTTGCACACTTTTTTAAAAATAGAAAAGGTGATGACACAATAGATGGTGTGCTCATACTTCATATCGTTATACTCTCATAAGCGATACATAGGGGTGTACAACAGTTTTGTTCTTATGAGACCGCATGATGAACCACAAGCGGCACGGGTTTGTCCAGCCCAGGATCACCAGCCCGGCCCACTACGACGATCAGCCCGAGGTCGTCAACCCAACCCCCGCTACAGCCGCGAGTAATCCACTTCTAGAGAATCAGTTATGTTGCTGCTTGCCAGTAGACTAGGATTTACTTTAGCATTATTTTGGGATATTGGTTTGAATGGGTCTTTTAAGTTTGTTAGCAGCAGAATAATCTCGTTCCACAATAGGTGGGGCATGTAGAGTAGTGTCCAGCAAGGTGAGCTTATTTGTAGGGGTTATTGTTTCAGTTTGGATGGCTTTATAAGCTGGTTACGTCAATGGAATAAGCAAGCAGAATTTGAGTAAAGAAAACCCTGGTAACCTCTCGCCAAGAAAGGAGAGAACTGGCTCAATCCCGCCAAGAAAGTGGATCAATCCATTCATACAATTTCAGCCCTTATCATTTGGTATCAGAGCCCGGCATGGGCACCCACGCGCAACGACTCGAGGCTCTCGAAGCCGTTGAGACTAGCAACCAACAGAACTTCCAAGCCATTCAAGATCAGCTGGCCGCACTTCAACTCGCCATGACCCAGCTCGCTCAAGCCACTGCTGCCAAGAACGCTACTCCTCCGTCCGAGGAGGGGGATAGGTCCATAAACGGCGCCTCTTACCACGCGAATCCCGACGACCGCGGCAAGCAACCATTCTTCGGCGCGAAACTCGCTCGTCTCGAGTTTCCATCTTTCTCCGGTGACGATCCGACGGTCTGGTTCTCCAGGGTGGAACAATTCTTCGAGTTTCAAGAGATCCCGGAAGAACAGAAAGTTACTCTTGCATCCTACCACCTGGAAGGCGACGCAAATCAGTGGTGGCAATGGCTCCGACGGAACTACCAAACGGAGGGCCTCACTATCACGTGGGACGTATTCTCGTCGAAACTCTGGGCTCGATTCGGCGGCACAGCAGGTACCCGCTTCGATGAAGCACTCTCCCGCATCCGTCAAACGGGTACTTTGAAAGATTACCTCACCGACTTCGAACGGTTAGGCAATCGTGTTCACGGATGGACTCAGCAGGCTCTCGTGGGAACCTTCCTCGGTGGCCTCAAACCCGCCATCGCCGATGGGATCCGGATTTTCAATCCCAAATCCATGAAAGACGCTATTAGCTTAGCGCGTGCACGTGAAGAGCAGCTGACTCGCCACAATAGTCCACCAAGACAGCCGCTTCGAACAGCCATGGACTACACGACCCCTCCGCGACCCAAACCGCGTTCGACATTCGACGCGTCCTTCATTCCCCGACCTCGGCCAATCCAAACCTTCGACGGCGGGCCGAACCAGCATCCACCAGCGCCTCCGGCGGGCACTAATCTCCGACCACGTCCGCCGGGATCCAAACGCATCAGTCATGAGGAAATGCACAGGCGTAGACAATTGGGATTATGTTTCAATTGTGATGCTCCCTACTCCGCTACCCACCGTTGCCAAGGGGGGAAACTCTGGATGATGTGGAACGACGAGGATGATGAAGAAGTAGAGGAAGCTGAAGTTTCTTTCCATGCTATCACGGGACTAACCAGTGGACGAACGCTTCGCGTTTGGGCTGAGGTACAAGGCACCCGTTTGTTAGTCCTCATCGACAGCGGCTCGTCGCATAACTTTATCAGCACAAGAGCGACAGAGCTACTCCACCTACCCGTTGCGTCTATACCGGCGATCCACGTCAAGATAGCGGACGGGACTCCTCTCAAGTGCATCGGCAAGATCAATCAAATTCCACTCCACATTCAAGGTAGCGAGTTTACAGTGGATTTGCACACCATTCCCATCTCTGGAATTGACATAGTTCTTGGGGTTCAATGGCTCGCAACTCTGGGAACCATACAAAGCAACTGGCACACCTTGGAAATGGAATTCTTCTTGAAGGGTGAACTCAGGAGAATCAGGGGTATCCAACGCATGACACCACAGGGAACTAGCCTGGAGAGTATAATTAAAGAGGACCATACTCTCGTGGCCATATGCGTACCATTTTCCATTACTGACTCCCTCCAACGCGTACCTTCGGAGCTTCAAGCACTCATTCGTGAGTTCGGCGACCTCTTCGACGAGCCACATCAACTGCCACCACAGCGTGCCATCGATCACACAATTCCCTTGAAGCAGGGAGCCGAAGCAGTCAATGTTCGACCATACCGCTACGCACATTTTCAAAAGGCAGAAATAGAAGCTCAAGTGAATCACATGCTTGCAGCAGGTCTCATTCGACCATCCACAAGCCCATTTTCTTCCCCGGTGCTCCTCGTCAAGAAGAAAGACGGCACATGGCGCTTCTGTACGGACTACCGAGCGTTAAATCTCGTCACCATCAAGGATCGTTTTCCCATCCCAACCGTCGATGACATGTTGGACGAATTGCATGGTGCGGCTCACTTCACGAAGCTTGATTTACGCGCCGGGTACCACCAAGTCCGAATGAACACAGATGACATTCACAAAACTGCCTTTCGTACCCACAACGGTCACTATGAGTACTTGGTGATGTCGTTTGGCCTCTGCAACGCGCCCTCAACATTCCAAGCCATTATGAACGAGATCTTTCGGCCGCTTCTTCGCAAATCGGTGCTGGTGTTCTTTGACGACATTCTCATCTACAGCCCGGACAAGGAAACACATCTCACCCATGTCCGACAGGTATTCCAAATCCTACGACATCATCAATTCTACATCAAATTTAGCAAGTGTGCGTTTGGAATGTCCGAAATTGAGTACTTGGGGCATTTCATTTCGGCTGGCGGCGTGAAAGCAGACCCACGCAAGATTGCAGCCATGGTTGATTGGCCCACCCCCACCAATTGCACCGAATTACGTGGGTTCCTCGGTCTCACCGGTTACTATCGTAAGTTCGTCCGCAACTACGGCATCATCGCCCGGGCTCTCACCAATCTCCTCAAGAAGGGACAGTTTGAATGGTCCGTCGCCGCGGATGCATCTTTTCGCGATCTCAAGCAGGCGATGACCACCACGCCCGTCCTGGCCCTTCCCGACTTCACTCAACTGTTCGTCGTAGAGACGGATGCGTCCGGTACCGGCATCGGAGCTGTACTGATGCAACAGGAACGCCCCATCGCCTTTTTCAGTCGTGGTTTGGGCAAATCAAAGGAAAACCTGTCTACGTACGCAAAGGAGATGCTTGCGGTGGTCACGGCGGTTCGGGCTTGGCGTCCGTATCTTTTGGGCCGTAAATTCATCATACGCACGGACCAAAAGAGTTTACGACATGTATTGGGCCAACGTATCACAACTCCCGACCAGCAGCAATGGATTTCTAAACTCTTGGGCTACGACTTTGACATCGTCTACAAGCCTGGGCCCGAAAACAAGGCGGCCGATGCTCTTAGCCGCCGCCCTCAAGAAGTGGCCGAAGTGCTCTCTCTCTCCATGCCCTACACGTCTCTGTGGGAGGCCCTCAAAACCACAGCAGCTACGCATCCCTATATGATCCAGGCTCGGCAGAAGGTAACCTCTCCACATCCGGGATATTTCTCCCTCCACAACGACATGCTTCTTCGTCGGGGAAGAATCGTGATCCCACCCAACTCTTCCCACGTTGCCCAACTCCTCCATGAGTTCCACGCCACACCAATGGGGGGTCACTCTGGCGTTGAGCGCACCTACAAACGCTTGGCAGCCCAGTTCTATTGGCCGGCGATGCTCGAAGACGTGCGGCGTTTCGTTCGGGCATGTGATGTGTGCCAACGTGCCAAGTCTCAATCCCTAGCCCCGGCGGGCCTCTTACAGCCACTCCCGATCCCGACCCAAGTTTGGCAAGACATCTCGATGGACTTCATCGACGGTCTCCCTTCTTCCGACGGTAAGACAGTCATCTTCGTCGTCGTTGATCGCCTCACCAAGGCAGCTCATTACATCCCTTTGTCTCACCCGTACACGGCTCGTTCCGTGGCTGATGCTTTCCTCAACGGCGTTCTCAAGCTTCACGGCCCTCCTCGCTCAATCGTTAGCGATCGGGATCGCACCTTCACCAGCAACTTTTGGCGCGAACTCTTTCGCCTTTCGGGAACCCAGCTGCAAATGTCCTCCTCCTACCACCCACAGACTGATGGTCAATCGGAGGTCATCAATCGCTGTGTAGAACAATACCTTCGCTGCTTCGCCAACCAAAACCCCCGCCGTTGGCTCTCGTTCCTTCCGTAGGCGGAGTTTTGGTATAATACGACGTTCCACAGCTCCACCGGCATGTCCCCTTTCCAGGCTGTCTACGGGAGGCTTCCTCCTTTGGTTCCTTATTATCGTCCCGGCTCTACGTCCGTTCATGAAGTGGAGCAGGCTCTTCTTGATCGCAATGCAATTCTCTCCGACCTCCACACCAATCTATCAGCCGCTCGGAATCGCATGAAACAGCAGGCAGATGCTGGCCGTCGCGACGTCACATTCCACGTCGGGGATCCTGTATACCTCAAGCTACATCCGTATCGCCAGCATTCTGTTTTTCGTCGTGCCTCTCAGAAGCTCGCCTGCCGTTACTTCGGGCCCTATCAAGTCATGGAGCGCATTGGCCCGGTCGCATATCGCCTCGCTCTTCCCTCGGGCAGTCGGGTCCATCCCGTGTTTCACGTCTCCCTGCTGCGTCCTTGTCTCGCTCCGGCACCAGCTCTGTCAACGGTCACTCCCCCAATCGGCGAGGATGGTGCTCTACAGCTGCTGCCCCAATCCATTTTGGATACACGCTGGACTCGCTGTGGAAATCGTTGGGTTGAAGAGTTATTGGTCAAGTGGCAACAATTACCAGCCGATGAGGCTACGTGGGAACTTGCTTCCGTCTTCCACGACCGCTTTCTCCAACTTGGCCTCGAGGACGAGTCCCTAGTTCAACCGGGGGGTATTGATGAACCACAAGCGGCACGGGTTTGTCCAGCCCAGGATCACCAGCCCGGCCCACTACGACGATCAGCCCGAGGTCGTCAACCCAACCCCCGCTACAGCCGCGAGTAATCCACTTCTAGAGAATCAGTTACGTTGCTGCTTGCCAGTAGACTAGGATTTACTTTAGCATTATTTTGGGATATTGGTTTGAATGGGTCTTTTAAGTTTGTTAGCAGCAGAATAATCTCGTTCCACAATAGGTGGGGCATGTAGAGTAGTGTCCAGCAAGGTGAGCTTATTTGTAGGGGTTATTGTTTCAGTTTGGATGGCTTTATAAGCTGGTTACGTCAATGGAATAAGCAAGCAGAATTTGAGTAAAGAAAACCCTGGTAACCTCTCGCCAAGAAAGGAGAGAACTGGCTCAATCCCGCCAAGAAAGTGGATCAATCCATTCATACAATTTCAGCCCTTATCACCGCACCAAACCAAATTGACGTTTGGGCACGAATTGAATATAAATATATAATGTAGTTCGGCTCATAGTCACGTGAATTTTATGAATACTAAAGTAAAAAAATGACTGAATTGGTTTTTGGACCGGACCTAATTGGATTGTCTGCAATAATGGTTCGATTTTTGGTTCTTAAATTTTTTTTTACTATTAAACTGTGATTCTCCTAGTTTAGTTAAGTCCATACAGGACAAGGCTGCTACACACCCACTACCGTTACACAAAAATGGACAATCATTGACACCAAATTTTGTCCGGCTCCAAATTTGGCTTCATATTACACGAGGGAACATGAAAATGGTCTTGTTGGAGATCCATACTCTACTCGGCAATGCAATTTTATTTGAGATCTAATCACGATTTAGTATAATTTGATAGATCCACTTTGGAACGATTTAAAATTAAATTTTCATAAACACTATTAATATGACCAGTATAATCGACTTATTGAACTCTAATAAAAATGAAGTGGTTTTAAAATTGTTTTAGAATGAAGCAAACGCCGGTCATATATAGGATGAAATCTAAACCATTATTATATGGAGGTTCTCCTTCAAAACCCCTTCAATTGCATTTTTGCTGGCTCCTCCGCAGAGGGCGCAAGGACACTTAGGTAAAAACACCATTTTAATTGACATGGGCCGCTTTTGTATGGGTTCAAAATAGAATCCGTAACCCCTAAAAATGCCAAATTCGAAAGAGGTTCCTCATGAAGTTTATTTTACCTGCATTGCAATTCTCATGAAATTCCCAATGGAATTTTTTGTTGCCGTGTTCTCACTACAGAGGTACATTATCTAATATTGTTTGCTGTCAGAATTAAGTATTATGCATTACAATTTTAAATAAATAATTCATGTATTATAAGATTATCAAACCAAACATACTACAATAACATATAATACTAATATAATGCTCATATATCAAGGTTGTCAATCGGTTTATAACGTTGTGCCGGTTTAGCAAGTGGAATGATACAACTGGTTTGCGCCAGTTCATGTCGATTTAACAAAATATAGTAATATCAAGACCCATTAACATAAAAATGAATTTAATAATATATAAAATATATTTCAAAATTATTTACTTACAATTTATATTCATATTTAAATAAAATACGAATGCTATCGACATGACAACAAAATGAATCTAATAGTAATAAATAATGCCGACACTACTAATAATGTCACATTTCTTTCACAACAAAATATCTGGTCCTCCACTTCCCTCCAAATTCATCTCTTGCATTATTATCTCATACTCAAACTATAATCCTACTATAACAAGTTACGTGTATTTCCTAACTTTGTTCATGATTTGCTAAATTTTGTTTCTTTTAAGCAATTATTCCATCCTACTTCTAAACTTATTTTTCAAGATTTACTATGCAGTCAAGCTGTGATTATATATGCTGAAATTATTGTTTTAGAAAGACCTAAACTATGAATTTAATTACACACTTCCTACATTAACATTGTGCTAAGTATATATTTTGAGAGTTACACTAATATACATTGTCAAACTGAAATATTGTTTAATGTTTTAATGCAAGGTTAGACAATATGCAATCCCAACTTATCTCCGATCTTATAACTCAAAAGAGGAACTAGACTATTCAATGTCGAGTTTCAAGGAAGTGGCTAGCAATCAATCCCAACACAGATACTATTCTGCGTCTGAATATGATAGTTATTGAGTCAAAGATAAACTAACTAAACCCACATATATTCAAATTCTATGACTAAAGCTTCAACAGTTTATTAATATGCCTATTTTACTTATGCAGGGTAATGATATTTGGGTGCGAATCCCCAAAGGCCAAATAAAGGACTGTCATCCTCTGTTTCGTGACTACTATCAATAACTTTAAGGTCAATATGACAACGGGAGATTACCGGCCAATTACAAACAAATTGGTCATCAAGTTTCAGTCAAACTCCGAGGTCGAAACATGCGACGATATTCCATCTATATCAGCTTACAACTTCTGTTTCATCAAACATGATGAGATTGAAAAGCACTACAAACAAAGGAAATTCCTTTGAGGTTCAAATTACAATTCAAATTTCAAATTTACTTCAATATTATGCATGTACTACCAAAAACATTAGCTTTTTAAAATTTTCATTCCACATATGCTGTTGTAAAGTAAAATTTAGATTACTTTACTTAATTATTTTTAAATTATTTTTGTTTCAAAGTAAATAGCATATATATAGAATGCAATAATTTAGCAGAATCTTTCTATTCAATTCCGCTCATGAGATAGAGTTGAATTTTTATATTTTGGAAACATGATCACTGCCAGTTTATTAAGTATTCAGATTTAATGACAACTACTGCAATCACCGAAAAAGTTACCCACAAAGAGCTCCAACTAAAACTTCTCGAGTATGTAATTGTTGGCCTTTTGTTCAAAATAGCAATGTTACTTTAACTCTAAGAGCAAATCTAATATACAATTTGGGTGCAGGGGATTAGTTGTCAAGGTAACTCTCTTTGGTAGGATAGTTACTCGATTAAATGTCATCCTTGCAAATGCGGGTGAAGACTCCAACCAGTACTTTTGTGGGAATTGTACAAAGATATAAAAAATGACAACATCAAGGTAATCCAACAATTATTAACATGAAATTTGATTTGCTATAGTTCGTTGATGAATATACATGCGAATTGATTGAATATTTAGTTTTCCAACATATAATTTTATTATTTTTTTTACAATTCAAAGATTATATTACTAATGCATAAAAAAGAACATTTTCCTTAATAATTAGCTATATATGGTACTTATACAAGTGAAAAGCTTACGTACATATTAAAATGTTAAATTAAATATGGTTAACAAAAAGAGATTCCAAAAGATTGGTTTCTTAAGATTAAAAAATGTATATAAGAATTAGGCTACATTTTCTTCTGCCCACCTAAAGTACCTAATGAGACTATTTTCACATTATTGATTGAATAATTTTGAGATTTTGTATTTAACACCTAAAAAATAACATGTACTTCAACAATTTTAATTTATTTTATGTTATTACAATCACTATACAGATTCAAGATCAACCTTCGAGTTGTGGACAATATAGTAGAGGCTGACTTTGTTGTTATGGATAGAGTGAGAGCTAGGTTTTTCAGAATGTTGGTTGAAAGGCTATTCCAAGACAACAACAGAATTAGAGTACCACCACCTGCTCATCTCCTACAAATTGAGGGAATGACGTTGCAGTTCGGCATCAATCTCATAGATTACGACATCGTTAATCCAACAAGTGAGTACACAATTATCAAGATAGGGAAGGATGAGTAAGAGCAGACCATTGACAATATTCCTGACTTGATCGAGGTAAATTATATTTGAATCAAAATGATGATCAACATTAATTATAAATTTATGCTATTCTCTATTGGATATGGATTTTTATACCATGCAAATGTCATACTTAGTTATATTATTTAATATAATTGATAACTTGCAACTGCAGGATGAAGGGAGCTGATGTTTTAAATAACAAAAAAAAAAATTGGCGTAGATGAAATATATTCAAAATGCTAATGTAGGAGAACAAGAATGAAACTGCTAATGGTGAAGGTAATTGATCTGGTGCTAGAGATGATGATTATGTTTAGAAGAAGAAAAACATTGTTCATAAGGAAGGTATAAAGACTGGTGAAGGGAAGAAAGAACAAATCATGGATAATATTCATAATTTGAATGAGGTCAATTCTACTCCAATGAAAAAGATGATTTGTATTTACAAATTTATTTTAACATCGAATTTTGATACTCAATGAAATGCAGGAAAACAAGGAAGAGATAACTGAAATCCAAGAGAAGAAGAAAGAGTCAATTGATATTGGAGATAATTGTGTCGCTATAATGGAGATGAAGACATTATTAATGGTGATGATAGGGTTGTTGCTCATGCCGGAAAAAATGCAAACAAGCCAAAAAGAAAACTTGCAGTAATATCTGATGATGAGGAGTAATTAGAAGGATCATTTTAATTGGTCTTTAAGTGTCGGCTCATTTGCATGTTGCTTTTCTTCCATCGTTGTAAAAGAAATTTAGTCTATTAGTCATTAATATGTCGGAAAACAACATAATGTTCATTCTTTTATAAACTGTTGAACTATTTTAACAATTTCAATTCTCTTATTCTCCCAATCAATTTGAATGTTTGAAGTATTTGAGAAACTTCGATTTTCTTATACTATTGCGTAACTAGAATACAAATTGTTGCCGTTATTTGCGTGATTCACAACTTAATTCGGCCAACCGGCCGGGTTCTTGACTAGTTATTGTTGGCGGCTTTCCGTCAATGCTCTTTCAACGGCGGGCGTAACACGAAATTCTAAACTAGTATAACGAACATTCTTGCTGTTATGAATGCGCGCGAAATTCCCCAACGAGAAAAACGTTTAGGATGAGCTCAAGCGCGTTTCTCCACGCGGCAACACTCTCCCACCTCGCCGCCACTCGCGTCTCCGTCTCTCCGTCCTCCCCTACGTCATCTTCCGCCGCCGTCACCGCTGCTCCGGCCGCCGCTTTATCTTCCATGGCTGCCTCCGCGAGAATCGCCGTCGTCGGAGACGTGGTGGGTTTGGTTCTCCCAATCTCTTCGAAACTAATCTCTGCTTCACTTGCTTCTCGGTTTCTCGAAACCCTAATTTTGATTTTGCGTGTGTTCGTATTTGGTGGGCTCGTTTATTTTCGTGAAGCATGATCAATGGAATCTAGAGGAAGATACGAAGGCACTTCAATTCTTACGGGTAATTCTTATATTTTATCCTGTCCACGAAAGTTTCCAACTTTGATCTTTGTGCCTGTAATCTGGTTTACTGAAATGGAGGACGAGCTTTTGGCTAGAGGATTAGGTTAAGTAAATTGGGGTTATGTGTAGAGAATAGAACCTTACTTCTCATTCACTATCAGCTGCTTGATTGTTTTATGTGGGTATGGAGCTTTGCAGAAGCCTGTTTGAATCTAGCTGTAGTTTGGATCCAATTCGAAGCTAGGCTACGGCTGGGTTGTGGATTAGATGTAGTTTGCATCCAATCTGAGCTACATGGCGAGAATTTCTCCGAATTTCGACCGAATCTTTAGTAGCATCCAGTTTGTTGTATGATCATCAGGATTTCTCGTGATCTTGTTGCTTGAATCACCAATTTGGGATCTAATGCTTCAGTTTGCATCGTAGTGCAGCCGGATCTGGTCCTATTCACAGGCAAGCTATCATTTCCCTCATTGCCCAGATAGGTCAAATGTATCACTTACCTTAATTGGAATCTGTAACAATTTATGTGAACTAGTTTGGAAGATCATTATAAAACAAACAATCTGTGGTTAAGGTTCTCTTTGTCATGAAATTTAATTCCTTTTTCTTTCCTTGGACTGTAATCAGGTGATTTCGGGAATGAGAACGTTGAACTCGTCCAGAGTATCGCAGATCTTCAGTTCCCCAAAGCAGCTATATTGGGGAATCATGATTCCTGGACTACCCAACAGTTTTCTTTAAAGTAAGTTTAGCTGGTGTAATAGTAAAAGCCGCAGCTGACAATCATGTACTTCGTATTAGTTTTGATTTGCTCTCATTTTCCCTTCCGTTTGTAAGGAAAAAAGATCGCATCCAACTTCAGCTGGAAAGGTGAGCTCAGCTTGTTATCTCTGGTGCTTCTAGATTCGTTGATGAGCATTTTCAATTGCTTCAGATTTGTTCTGTCTATCAGGTGCTAAATGACCTTTCTGTACCTTCCCTTTGCCGCAATCAGTCTCGGTGATGAGCATGTAGGGTACAGTCGTCTGGATTTTTCAGAACTGAAGATCAGTGTCGTTGGTGGACGTCCATTTTCTTGTGGCGGTGATTATCTGTACCGGAAAAAGCTCTTGTCTGCAAGGTCCTAACCGAGGAGTTTCACTTTCTCTTTACCCTTCATTTTCTCGACTTCGTGGCATGTTTTAAACTCTGGTATGATTCATCTAACTGGTTGCAGATATGGCGTCCAAGACATGGAAGGAAGTGCCAGGAGAATATACAACGTTGCTTTGGGTACTCCAGAAGACAATTTGGTTATTCTTCTCGCACATAATGGACCCACAGGTGATTCATCTAGCTGGGATCATTCATTCATTCCTCCATAATGTTGAGGCCTGGTTCTGTGTTAACCAAGGTGTGCTTTCTTTCCTGAGTTTTCAGGTCTCGGCTCTAATCTAAACGACATTTGTGGGAAAGATTGGTCGGTTGGTGGTGGTGACCATGGTGATCCAGGTATACATACTCTCTAGTCTGTACTCTATGTTTGTTTATTGAACCAACTGTAAAGGCTACAACTTTTTCCCAGTGACTTCAAGGGTGCGCAGCTAGGCATGTTCTAGTCTGGTCCCGCTTAAAAGAGTGTCCTTTCTTATCCTGCTGCAGATCTAGCACAAGCCCTGTCCCGCCTAAAAGATTCCTCGAACTTACACATCCCTTTGATTGTCTTCGGTCACATGCACAAACAGCTGGCATATCGCGCTGGTCTTCGAAAGATGATCGTAGTTGGTCACGACGACACCATCTACCTGAACGGTGCCATCGTGCCTAGAGTGAAACCTGTGAACCGTGAACCACGAGCTACCCAGGAAAGCGAAGGCACGCTGCGAGCCTTTACTTTAGTCGAAATCGTGGAGGGTAGAGTGGAGAAGATTGCAGAAACTTGGGTCTCGGTTGCGAGAGATGGTGGCACGGCTATGGCAGAGGAGCTCGTGTTGTTCGACGGCAAGCCATTAAGGTGAATTCCAGAGCTTCTTTTGACTGTGAGCTCCATTGTTGGTCACTAACTTTCTTGTATGTATATTTATGATTTATCTGCTTGACTTGTATCAACAATTAGAGGGTCCTTATTGCTGTTTGTCGTAAGGTAGATATATTACGAAACCCAGAATAGTGAGAAGGTGAGCTGTCAATCATCGGTATTGTCTCTGTAGTTGACAACATACATTGGTGCGATGCACGTTAATGTGATTTGATCATGGAGGGTGATGGCGCAAGAACACTAAAAGTCAGCCTGCTAAGAAATAAGAAAACTTGATATGATTCAAGATTATAAAGGTAATAAATTCCCAAGAATATACACTAAAACTGAGTGGATTGAAGCTAAATTCAAGTTAAAGAGTCTCAAATTGACATAGAGAATTCAAGATTCACAAGTCTAAATAATACTAGAGACAGAATTTTTTTAATGGTGGACTTATTCTGCAGGGTCATCAAAGTATCGAGTTATGATGTGAATCCATGATGTACATTGAAAAATTATGTGAGATTACCGAGAGTTTAATTTATATTATGCTCTTATCCGATGTAGACTAGCAAGATATTAACATATACGAAATCGTTTGAAATTTATTCGGGATGTCTTTCTTTTGATAGGATGGGTTGCTAAAGTAAATTTTGAATGTATTATGGATGTTATGATGCTATGCCATCCTTCTTTTCTTTTTCTCACTAAAGAGCTTTCTTGTGTCTTTTGAAGAGTACTTTTTTTCTTTAACCGAGCCATGTTATCCTTGTAGTCAAATCAAGCCCTACAACAAAAACTATTATGACATTCCTCCCGATAAAAAATTATTATATCACACAATTTCACAATGTACTTGCATGAAAAATTTGTAGGAGACAAATGACACCCTATGTATGCAAATTATGAGTTCTAAGTTGGATCAAGTTTTGCGTTTTCTGAATTTGCTTACTGTGTTAGGTCTCATCGCTTAGATTGATGTTTATCAAGGAAGTGAACTCTTAAATGTAACGATGATCATAACATCAGGGCACTCTTTAGTCATTTATCATGCACATAACTTGAAACTCAATTTTTTGGTTATGATCACTTAGATAGTCGATGTTTGTCAACAAAATAAACTCATAAATGAAATTATGATTATAACATCAATAGACTCTTTTAGTCTTGTATCATGCACATAACTTGAAACTCAAATCTCTTTCATTTCCCCATTTTAGTTCATTTATGGTGACAACCCAACATTTCATTTTCAATGCTATTATGTTGGTTGGTGATGGAGGACCATATAGGTTCCCCCTCCCTCCCTCCCTCCCACTTCTCTCTTTCAATTCCTAAAACCCTAACCCATTGGCCAATTGGCCCCCCCCCAAATTAGGAGGGTAGTGGACTAAGCCTATTCATAGCCTACCCATGTTGCCCATTCCAAACAAAAGTCATTCCTACTTATCTAGCTTTCTCCTAATTCATCTAGTGTAGTGACCATTTCTTCTTGATAAGAGGAATTTCGAGATGAAATGAATGAATTTTTATAAGAACTATAAAGTTAAACCGTGGTTAAGATGAAGCAGTGCATAAATTATTAGCCTTATAAGAAATAACCATAATGTATCTAAAAGAAAATTCATGCCAAAACTAAACTCAAAATGAACGATGTGTTAATCAAAAAAGAATCGAAATGTTAGACTATATCTATATGTTACATACCAAATTCTTGCTGGTCAGCCCAATTTCTTCCATAAAGAAGAAAAGCATCGACCTTGGATTTATGTGGCATAAGCTTTGTCTCCTACAATTATAATTTCCTATTTAATTGATTTGGCAACATATTTTCTTTCACCTGAACAAACCAAAGCAAGAAAATGATTAGAGAATGTTTGACTCTGACAATCTTGACTCAATCTCTCTCCACCCCAGCAGGCAGGCAGCCTTTGACCAGATCTCAGCCGTCCATTATTTCATTAATTTTGATCTCTGTTGTAATCTTTAGTTTCTGTACTTCACTGTGGTATTGTATCCCTAATCCCCACATATAGCTGCATTAATATCATAAAAATCGGGGCCAATTTAAATAATAATAAAATTAATTCTCCCTTGGGAGAATCAGAGATCCAGTCATCATCCTTCTTCTTTCTTTCTTTCTTCTTCCATCTTCCCAATGACCAAAAGGAAAAGCCAAAGAGAAAGAGTTATAATTGATTGATTGCCTCTCCCCCTCCTTCTTTTTCTCCCTTTGTTATGTGCTCTAATTATGATCCAATCTGCTCTTCCTCTTCTGGGTTTCTGTCCCCAACCTCTCCTCCTTCCTTCCACCACCGCCATCATTATTTGCGTCGCAACCACCGTCTCCACCTTCACCGCCGGCAGCTCTCCCTCTTAGATCGGATCCCTTCACATTAGCCCATGAGAAATTGAAAACCCCAAATTCACAAATCTCTCTCTTTCCCTCCCTCTCTCAAATGCATTAAATTAACCAGGAGTGGAAAAGATCTCCCCGCCATTAATTAAACATTTCATTGTCATCTCCGCCATAAATCCCCAACTGGGTTCCTTGAAGAAGGTGAAAAGCTTTCAGCTTTGAGCTGAATTTCGGAATTTGTTTCTGGGTTTTTCCTTTTTTTGGGAAGGAAGGGAAGAACAATGGGGAATGTGACGTCGAACGTGGCGGCGAAATTCGCCTTCTTCCCGCCGGACCCGCCGACGTACGACGTGTTGGAGGAGGAAGAAGGGAGGCTGGTGGTGCCAGGTGTCACGGCGGACAAGAACATGGATGTTCATACGCTGGATACCAAAGCTGGGAACAAAGTTGTGGCCATGTTCTGGAAGCACCCTTTTGCCAGATTCACCATGCTCTATTCCCATGGCAACGCCGCCGACCTCGGCCAAATGCATGAGCTCTTCATCGAGCTCAGGGCTCATCTCCGAGTCAACATCATGTGGTATAAGCTCTGGGGTTTTTTTTTTTTTTGGTTCTATTGTTCTGTTCATTTGTGTAAAACCACCCAATTTTGAGCTTTAAATCAAGGTGGTAGCAATAACTGAAGGTATTAGGAGATGTTCAAGAATGGATTTGATGAAAATTTATGGTTTTGATGAATTCTTGTTGAAATTAGAGTTGTTCTGGTTTTGGGGGATTTTGGTAATGCTTTTATTGTATTGGTAGATGTTTAAAGGTTGGTACTTTATTGTAATGACCATTGTTCTTTGTTGTTTCTCTATGCAGCTATGACTATTCAGGGTATGGAGCATCCTCTGGGAAGGTAAATAGAGCAAAAGAATTTCAAAACCATGTCAAAAGTTCTCAAGTTTATGTTTTGTTGATTTATGATCAGGGACGAAATGGTTTCTGATTGGAGTTGTTTTGCTGCATTGTTTATAGCCCTCCGAGTTGAACACGTACTATGACATAGAAGCAGTGTACAACTGCTTGAAGGATGAATATGGGGTGAAGCAGGAGGAATTGATACTCTACGGACAGTCTGTTGGCAGTGGCCCGACGCTTCATTTGGGTTCTCGATTGCGTGACTTGAGAGGCATCGTGCTTCACAGCGCGATCCTTTCGGGTATACGGGTGTTGTACCCTGTCAAGGTGACACTTCCCTTCGACATCTTCAAGGTGAGCAAAGCGAGCTTCACGTTTGTTAGTTATTTTGGAGTGGGAACTGATGAAGGGTGTGGTTTTTTGGACATTGTTTCTGCAGAACATTGACAAGATTCGACATGTCAGCTGTCCTGTTCTTGTCATTCATGTGAGTTGTTTTTCTCTCCTTCCACTATGTTTCCAACTGTGTGGAATGCCTTGGAGGCTTAGGTTCTCATGTGTAATGCCTTGGAAATCCCTTCACTAGGTTTGGATTCATATGCACATAATTCAGAAAGGTCAATCCATAAATGGTCATTGAACTTTGATTTCAACTAACATGTCATTGACGTTTTGCATAACTAACATTATGGTCATTGTGTTCATCTACCTCCTAAACTGTCCATATCACCTCGTCAACTAACATAAAGTTTAGTGGTTGATCTGTTAATGTTTCCAAAGTTAAGTGACCGTTTATGCAATAGGAATAGGACCACCTTGCTATATACATTGGAATAGGATCACATTGCTTCTAGGCATTTGAATTGTTGAATTCCCTCTGTTCTTGAGATATCTGTCAAGGATAGCATCTTATATCTCTACAATCAATCGATCTTTCAGGGCACGAGTGATGAGATTGTCGATTGGTCTCACGGGAAGCGCCTGTGGGAACTCGCGAAGGACAAATACGACCCTTTGTGGGTCAAGGGTGGCGGCCACTGCAACCTTGAGACGTACCCTGAGTACATCAAGCACTTGAAGAAGTTCATCAACGCGATGGAGAAGATCGCCATAACGAAACCAATGAAGCAAGCCAGTTGCGAATCTGCTATGGAGTCCAAGCAGAGCAAGTGCTTAAGATTCGGGTTGAAAAGCCGTGTGGAGCAACAATCTTAGTACTGTAAGGTGGAAGGAGGAGGAGGAGGAGGAGAAGGTTAGTTTGCATTGCTAGAGTAAACACCAGCCAAAGTCAAGTTTTGATGTGATTTTCTGAAGTCTCAGCAATCCCAGACCCATGATCATATATTGAGAGAAATTTTCATGTGTATAAGTCCATTTTTGTTGTGGGAGTGGAGACCCAATACAGGGTTGGTGTCTGGTGTTTGAGAAGTGAATGTGGGTTGCTTGTTCTGTGAGGGAAAAGGAATCCAATATAGGTGTGTTGATTGATCATTTAGATTTGTTTGTGTAATGTTATGAAAGTTAGTCCCCCTTTTTTGTTTGTTTGTAAAGAAAAGAAAGATACAAAATCAAAAGTGTCATTTTGGTATCCTCAATTTTCCTTGCATTAAGTCCTTATAATATAATGTTGAATTTTCACCATCGACAATATTGATTAATTCTAGTTGTGGATGAGAGGTGAAATTCTAAATGTAAGACACTAATTGTAGCAAGTTAAAAATAATAGCGAACTTTTAGTTGCGCCACTTTTTGTCATGCCACTTTTTGTCAGGCTGAGTCCAATGCAGCCTGCATTTATGGGGTTGTCGGCATTAATGGCGATCGGGGAGTTCCAACGCAGAGAAATAAATGCCGAAAATCGGCAATTATGGAGGCGATCGGCAATTGGATCGCTATATATGGGGGAGGGTTTGCCGATTTCGTCATTTATGGAGGCCGAGCTGTCTGCTGGGCGGCACAGCCGCCGGGGCTGGGCCGCCCAGCACGTTTTTTTTTTTTTTTTAATTGTTGCCGTATTATTTAAGGCCATTAGGAGTTGTAATTAATTAGGGAATCTGATTAAGGGATAATTAATTATTGCCGAGTTAATTAGAGGAATTATTAAAGGAGTTGTAATTAATTAGGGGAAGGGGAAGGGGAATTAAATTGAATTAATTAGGGGAAGGGGAATTAAATTTATGTTTGTATTTAGGCTTTTTAGATTGTATTTAATTTGTGTTTAATATTTTTGTATTTAGGCTTTTTTTCTAAGATGGCTTAAATTGAATTCATTTTATTTAAAATTTATGTTTATCATCTTTAAGTTGTGTGTAAACAAAAATTAGATCGAACTAAGAATGGAAATTATATTATGGAAATGAAAATGTGTTTGTAAATTACAAAATAAATTGTCACCAACTACAACTTTAATTGAATTACAAAGCATCACAGCATCGATACCAAGCAACAACAATGCCTAATTATTTCCATGCAAGTTCCAAATATGTTCGACCAAGTCCCGACGAAGCCCATGATGTGTTGGTGCAGCACGAAGCCTATTATTCCTAGCTAAGTACTCAGTTAGGGTTGGAATATCTCTATCGACATTAGTTGGTTGTTGGTCGTGGACCTCATAATCAAGATTATCTTCCATCTCATCGTCAGAATCAACCTGCTCATCCTCGATTATCATGTTGTGCAATATAATGCATGTCAACATTATATCATTAATTGTTGCAACATCCCAAGATCTTGCAGGGCCACGAACGATTGCCCATCTAGCTTGAAGAATTCCAAAGGCCCGCTCTACGTCTTTTCGATGTGCTTCTTGACATCGAGCAAACAAGACTTCTTTGTTTGAGCTTGGATTGCTGAATGTTTTCACTAAAGTTGACCACGAAGGATAAATACCATCAGCCAAATAATAACATTGATCATAGGTATGACCGTTTACCTCAAATCGTACTCGTGGGGTGGATCCGTTGAGGACACCGTCAAACACTGGAGACATCCCCAGAACATTGATGTCGTTATTCGACCCAGGAGGGCCGAAGAAAGCATGCCATATCCAGGTGTTGTACGAAGCCACTGCCTCGAGAATGATTGTTGGTTTACGGTTGTGCCCCAGGTACTGCCCAGTCCAAAAAGTAGGACAGTTCCTCCACTCCCAGTGCATGCAATCAATTGATCCAATCATACCAGGGAATCCGCGTTGTGAGGCTTTATGAAGTAGAATCCTTAGATCAGCAGGAGTTGGTGCACGAAGATATGTCGATGAGTACATCCCGACAATGGCTCTGCAAAACTTCCTGAAGACTTCAAGCACAGTGCTCTTACCCATACGCATGTAGTCATCAAGTTGATCAGCTGGAGATCCATAAGCTAGCATGCGCAGTGCACTAGTAAGCTTTTGCTCCGGCGCTAGGCCTAGGTGACCAACGGCATCACTCCTTCGTGCAAAAGAGGGATCATACCTCACAACGTCACCCATTATGCGATTGAATAGTCGTGGTTGCATACGAAAACGCCTTCTGAATATGCGGGCATCGTATGTTGGATTTGGATTGAAGTAATCATGCATAAGACGGTCATGACCTGAGACCCTTTCACGATCAATGTAGGTGCGATTTGTTGAACGGCGACGTGAGCGTGAACCTTCCTCAAGCCTCCGCCCGATTAAAGTCAAACGATGATAGTTAAACAGATTCAACTCTTCTATCTCTTGTTCTCCTCCAGAAGATGAGTAATCTGAGGAACTCATGATGAATGTGTTTGTTTTAGAAATAGGAGGAAGTTTCAGACAAGTATACAATTGATGGTAAATGGGGGATTTGCATTTATATTCGAACATGTTCTACCTACCAACCTTACCTAACGGTCATATTCGAACATGTGCTACCTACCAACCTTACCTAACGGTCATATCTGAACATGTGGCATATGGCAGAACAACTCTATTTAAGCGAGACCGGAGAAAAGGGGTGGACTTTTGGTCATTGTTGGTGGATCTTGAAAAGATGCCAAAAATTTCATACCGTGATAATAATGCCATCTTCAAATCAAAGCCGCATGAGTCAAGGTTCTGATGGTTCTCCCATGGGTCTTGGTTATCAATCAACACCACAGACAGACCTCAATAACACAGAAGGAGACGAAGAAACTCCACCATTCGTCGGAGAAACTCCACCGTTCGTTGAAGAAACTCCACCATTCGTCATATCTCGCCCCGCTGGACGCGACAAACAGAAGGCAGCTAAGAAGAAAGGAAAGGGGGTTGTCGAGTCATCAGAGAGCTACACTGCTCAATTGCTTGAGTATGGAAGTGAGTTGAAGGAGAGGCATGCTTTGAGGACTGAGTATGAGCGAAAAAGGATGGAATTCCAAGAACAAAAATCAAAGTGTGACCAAGAAAAGTGGGAAGTTGAGAAAAAAGAGAGGGAAGCAGCACTATTTCGGAACAATCTTGATCTTATTGAAAAGGACTTGTCGAAGTTGACACCAAGAAAGCGGAAGTTTTACAAAAATCATCAAAACATGCTCCTAGGGTATGATCAAGATGATCCCAACTCTGTTCCCGACTATTCATCCAACGCAAGTCAAACTGGAGGTGGAGATGGAAATGGAGGAGGAGATGAAGGTGGAGGAGATGAAGGGAATTACTATTCCCTTCTGGGTGATTATTGACATGTTATGTGTTTCTTTTTTTATCATTTCAAGTGTTGTGTGTTATTTTTAAACTTTATCATTTTCAAGTGTTGTGTGTAATATTTAAGTTTTATGATTAGCAAGTGTTGTGTGTAAACCCAAATTAGGTCCATAATTTTTTGCTAAAAAAAATTCGGTCTCGAAATTTAACAAAATTCTATCGAAAATTTTGTATTTAAAAATGATGACGAACTATACAAAAATTAACACGAACAAATTATGTTAAAGTTTCGATAAGTACATTTTTCAATAAATGGAAAAACTGGAAATATTAAGAACCCCAAATATGGAGTTTGTTGCATTGGAGCAAAAGAAGGGAAAATGGGGTCCAATCCCCAAATTTGGAGTTCAAGACCCCTATATTTGGGGTTTTGCATTGGACTTGGCCTCATGCGTGTAATGTTTTGTGGTTGGTTAAATTTTTTAAGTAATAAAAAGTGAGGCATTTACCTACAACTTCAATTGTTGCTACAAGAGTTACATGTTGTAGTGTCAAAAATCGTGGGTGACAATTTGGGAGGGAGTAGAAGATGTTTTACCCATCACCTGTCGCCGTCGCTATTGTATTAGTAAAAGGACAGTTGTGAAAAACCTGAAAACTGGCGCTAAAACGCTATCCAGATTAGGGAAACGGTTGTTAAGGATGCAGATAACAAAATGAGAAATTGATGACGGGAGAAAATGACAGTATACAAGTGAAACGGCGGGAGAAACGTCAAAACGCGAAATGTTTCGAGATCTCAAAATCAAAACTCAAACATGATAAATTTCCGAGAAATGAAATTGGCGATATACAAATCGATAAACTATCTAAGTATTTATACGGTATATTAACTTTTTACAATATGTTAACGGTAATATTAAAATGCCCCTCCAATCGCTGGGGAAAAAACAGGAATAGATAGAAAATTGCTAAAATATACAGGGGAACTCATGCACTTGCATAGCTCACTCACCAAATCAAAATGGATTCGTTATCAAAATTAAAAATTTAAATTTGAACTCTCAGTGGCCAAATGAGGAAATTTTTTCTGCTCTGCTGAAGGGCACCACACCCCAAAAACGAGAAAAGGAAGCTGAAGAGCCGCTTGCTTACTAGAAGAAAGTTCTCCGCCATAAACAGAGTCTCTGTTCTTCCCTCTTTCGAAGAAACACAACGATGGCGTATGGAGAAGACGGATTACTATTCCGGCGGGCAACTACTCACTATTTGCCGGATCATGTCATATTGCTGGTCGGAGAAGGCGACTTCTCCTTCTCTCTGTCTCTGGCTCGCTCCTTCGGCTCTGCCTCCAACATCGTCGCTACTTCTCTCGACACCCGCGGTAACTAAACTCTGCAATTGAATTGGATCCAAGCAGTTCTCATTTATGGGTTCTGCTCTGCTGCTGTTTATGTAAATCGGTTCACGTTATTGGATTCTTGCTATTTCGCTTGCGAATTGTGATAAACCTAGCAGTGCTGCATGGTTGATTCTCTTGCTATGGTAAGAAAGCGTCTGATTTGGGGTTATACACATTTGTATAACTGTTTTGGGTCTGTTGTGTAACATTTTTTCCCCCTTTCCAAATTGGATTAGGTTTATTCTGTTAGAGTGTAGTATATGATCCACGATTGAACCTCTCCCAACAATTCGAGTTATTGGGATCAATTGGTTCTTGACATGGTATCAGAGTCTTCTGTGACCGAGAGGTCTTGTGTTGGATTCCAGGTGACCCTCATTTGTTAAGCACATGGTATTCTTGTCTTCGGACCTGTGCAAACCTCAAGCCCTTGTGAGTGACTTTCGTTTGAGGGGGCGTGTTAGTGTTGTGCTATATTATCCGCTATTGAACCTATCCCAACAACTCGAGTTATTGGGATCAACTGGTTCTTGAAATAGTCCATCTAGAGAAAGTGTTTTATATATATATATATATTCTCATTCTCTATAATATGTATCTTATCAAGTAGTGAAACTGGTCTCTATTGCCCATGACCACTAACACACATATCGTATTAGCGAACCACTGTTCTTTATTTTCTTGCGTTGTCCATTTCTCGATCGGCTTAATTGCAAGTTTGGTCACTCGAATTGCTACAAAATTTCATTTTTGGTCACTCGAATTGATTTATTCCATTCGTAGTCACTTAAATTAGTTGAACAGTCCAACTTTAGTCACTCTCCGTTAACCTCCGTCAAACTCCGTTAGTACCGTCAGTTAACTGCTGACGTGGCTAACAGAAGTGCTTAGTCATCCTATTTTAACAAAAAAAAAAAAACATGCCACATCATTAACCCCTCAATATTTTAAAAGTCCACCCAAACCCAATCAACCCCTGACCCGAACCAAACCCCTAAACCAACCCATTCACCTGTTCCCCCTCTCCTTCCCCCCTCTTCTTCCCCAGCTCCGACCCGAATCGCCATTACTGCCACCAAATCATAATCCCATATCTACGGCGATATCCCGAGATAGAGAGAGCCGGCAAGATTGAGTGGGAATGGAGGGAGACGCGATTCCCAGATCATTCGACGGTGATGGCTTTGGACACAAACCTTGACAGCGACAGACAAGGTGTGAAAGAAGGCTAGCCGGGAAGTTTATCCCGATTTCGTCTACAACTCTGCTAGAGTGATAGCTATCCGGAGTAGTTCAATTCCCCATAGCTCTCTCTCGTCTCCTCCCCATCCCTCACAAGGGTAGCCGTGTGATAGATTTGGGGCGAGCTGGATCGGGGGGATCCGTTGCACAGCGCCGTCGTGAGAGCGGAGGATTGGAGCGGAGTGCCGGGATTGGAGGAGTGGAAATCGGAGACGAAACGGCGGCATCGAGGGCGGAGCCGCAATTGATGAGATGGTTGTCGACGGGGGATAAAGGTGAGAAAGAGAAGGCGGAGAAGAAGGAGATGAGATGGGATGGTTAGCCTCTGCCCGATCTTCGGCTCCCTCATGTCCGACCCGGTCGTCGTCTCCTCCGGCCACACCTTCGAGCGCCTCTCCGTCCAGGTCTGCCTCGACCTCGCCTTCCTCCCCATCCTCGACGACTCCTCCCTCCCCAATTTCGCCGCCGTCATCCCCAATTCCGCCTTCAAGAGGACGATTCACAACTGGTGCGACGCCGCCGGCCTCCCGCACCCTCCGCCGCCAGACTACGCCTCCCTCGAGAAGATCGTGCGGGGTAAGATGAACGACTCGCCGTCGTCGTCGATTTCGAACGGGAATCCCGATCTTAGGGTTTCAGAGAGGGAGCTGCTCAAGGCCGTGGCGGAGAACCCTCCGATTTTATTCTCCCACTCAATCTTGCCGGCTCTCTCTATCTCGGGATATCGCCGTAGATATGGGATTATGATTTGGTGGCAGTAATGGCGATTCGGGTCGGAGCTGGGGAAGAAGAGGGGGGAAGGAGAGGGGGAACAGGTGAATGGGTTGGTTTAGGGGCTCGGTTCGGGTCAGGGGTTGATTGGGTTTGGGTGGACTTTTAAAATATTGAGGGGTTAATGATGTGGCATGTTTTTTTTTTTTTTTGTTAAAATAGGATGACTAAGCACTTCTGTTAGCCACGTCAGCAGTTAACTGACGGTACTAACGGAGTTTGACGGAGGTTAACGGAGAGTGACTAAAGTTGGACTGTTCAACTAATTTAAGTGACTACGAATGGAATAAATCAATTCGAGTGACCAAACATGAAATTTTGTAGCAATTCGAGTGACCAAACTTGCAATTAAGCCTTTCTCGATCTATTATAGCAGATGTGCATGTTGTTTGGGAATATGATTCGCCCGTCACTAACCGTTTCTGTGATCAATCTTGATGATTTTGGGTGATCAAAGACGACTTGATGAAGAAATACAAGAAGGCAGGATTTAACCTAGCTTTACTGAGAGAGTTGGGAGCTCATGTGTTCCATGGAGTGGATGCAACCAAGATGATGGATCACCCACATTTGAAAATTCTCAGATTCGACCGCATCATCTTCAACTTCCCACACGCAGGATTCCACGGCAAGGAAGACAGTCCCAAACTCATCAGGTATATATTCAAAAGCTCGAAACTTTACCTCTCCTTCCTCCCCATCTGAACTCAAATCGCATGATGGATCATTACCAAAATTATGAATGTTGTTGTTATGACTTGAATTTGAATTATCTAGTTTGTCGACTGAAAGTCACGAGGTTTTGTTGTCCGGTTAGCGTGTCCGAGTCTAGAGGCGAAGCGCCAGGCGTAAAGTGGTCTCCCAAGGGGGGTTCGGATTAGGCCGCGGGAGAATTTGCTATATATACCTTCTCAATTAAAGTAATTTGTATCTACTCGAGTATGATGAAACACTGAAACTGGTCTCAATAAGCTCACGGATGAGTTAACACATATTGTATTAGTAAATCATGTCAATCCGTATTCCCGTTTGATTTCCTACATTGTCGATTTTCCGGTTCCGTACTAACATCTTGCTGCCTACATTGCAGTAAGCACGCGGAGCTCGTTCATGGTTTCTTCAGGAACGCATCAGCAATGCTACGGCGACCATGGGGAGAAGTACACGTCTCCCACAAGACCACGAAGCCATACTGCGACTGGAACATTGTGGAGCTTGCTTTCCATAGCTTCTTGACCTTCGTTTGTGCAGTCGATTTCAGGCCGGAAGATTATCCTAATTACTCCAACAAGAGAGGAGACGGGAAGAAGGCCGACGAGTCTTTCCACCTCGGCGAATGCAGCACCTTCGTGTTCTGTTCGTCCATGGCAGCAGCTATTCACAGGCCGCCGTTAAATTGTGTGATATGGGGAAGAAGCTTGAGTGTTGATGATCGACAGCAGAGGTTGATGTCGCTGTGGAGACTGATGGTGGATCTTTTGGGCCAGCATCCAGGAGTTGCTGAGATGAGACTGCGGATGAGCTGATGGTGATCATTAATGGGCGCGTGCTGACGGGACAAAGGTAACATACTTTTGGATGGAAATAGACGGAATGGCTGATTTGTTATCTGTTCAACGTGTTTTATTGTAAAATTTAAACTTTTTAGTGACAGTTTTTTTACTAAGGGGTCGTTTGGTTTTTGGTGATAGTTGAAACACGGGTTGGATCGAGTTCTACGGGTTGTGTAATCCAAAATCCAAACCCAACCCAAAAGAGACGGATTGTACAAAAGAAAACCCTCACCCAACCCAAAACCTTCGTTTTAGCGATAAATACGGGTGGGTTGGGTCGGGTTGCAGGTGTGTTTGTTCGCCTCTAGATTTAACTAGGGGTGGGTCGGGTGGATTTTGACCATAAAATGCACCCACCCGCGCTTAGACGGATTGATAATTTTTAACCCACCACCCACCCACATTTAGTCTCGGGTTGGGTCGGGCGGATGGTGGATGATGCGGGTGGGTTTGTGGGTTCACCCACATCACAATGTATATAATATAAAGGAGTCAACTTGACATGATAATAGGTGAAGAGAATCATCGAGGGAAACAAGAAGTTGAAATAGGGCGAAAAATGTCGAATTAGTTCTTAAATTGGATAGAAATTCTATTATGAAAGAGTTTTCTACAGATTGAGACGATTATTAGGTGCAAGGAACTAAAGAAAATAATTTCACAAAGGAAAAAGCGGTGATCTAAGCACAAGAATTAGAGGAAAAAGTAAAGAGAAGAAGAGAGGATCTCTATTTGGAAGGTAGGCTTTGAGGTTCAAACTCCAGGAGCAGTCCGAGTTTATATATAACGTCTCAACTTTCCTCTCTCTAGCGCCAACGACTTTGATCTTTTTGCTGTTGGGTTGAGCGGGTCACCCGCACACTCACCCACAACCCACCCACCACCCGGCGGATGGCTCCCAGCGCAACCCGTCACTCACCCACAGACCCACCCACTTAACGAAATTCGGGTCAAATGCGGGTGGGTCGACCCAAACCCGCGAATGATCCGCCCGCATGCCCAGCCCTAGATTTAACTATCACCAAAACCAAACTACCATAATAAATTTTGTAACTTATAGTTACTGTACAAAATTCAGACCTACAAAGCCTACAAAATAGACACGAAACTTTGTAGGTTTGGATTTTGCAGGCATCCTTTTGGTTGTAGTTTTAGATTGGAGTTGCTAATTTTGGGCCGAAGAGATCATGGGCCGCTGAGAAAGTTAAGATGCGAACTCTCTGTCTTCTGTGCTGTCCTCGTGGGCTCCTTGCTTTTAATTTTTGAGTTGTTGGATCCATTACAAAATGGGAAACGCGACTTGGGTGGCCCAATCATGTTGGAATTGGACCAGGTCCAAACCAAATTCAGTTTTGGAGATTCATATAGAAGTTCTCCCTAGATTTCTCGTCATTAGACAAGGAAATTAGTAAATTACAAATAACTTTACATCTATGCTTCCCGTGAAGCGCTACCCTACCGATGCATTTTTCTATCTGACGGTTTTGGTAGATTGTTTAGCCCCTTTCATCTTTGGCGCAAGAGCGCTCAATTATGAGTTTTTACGCACTATTTGAAGGATGACTTCTTCTAGGCAAGCTTTTTGCATGTCTCTACACCTATACCTTCTTTATCACTGAACAATCATTTTAGGAATCTTAACTAAAGGAAAATTAAATTTTTATCCAAGAGTTATTGGAACTCAAACGTCATAATACCATTGAACTACGAATTGATTGACAGTTGGTTGTCCAAATGCAATAAGCTGGGATCGATTAAGTCTCTCTCTCTCTCTACATGCCACGTGTTTACATCAAACTGCAAAGTGCAAACCATGTGTATGGGTTTAGTGGCTTTCATCGTTTTAGGTTGTAGTTATGTACCAGCTTGGATGTGGTTTTGCTGGAAAAAATGAGATCAAATCACGTGGAGAAGTACCCACGGTCACATTCAATATGGCTGCTAGCTATTTGCTGCTTGCCTCCTGTTCATAGACAAATCCTTCTCTTGATTTCTTAGTTGGGATTCTTAAATACAAAGTTCTTGATTAAGGTGAGGCGTCTTACGTTCCTAATTGACAGTATTTGAATCCAATAAGAAAGATCTTTTACATGACCCTATGCTCGACGGCAAAAATGATTTCATGCGGTTTGGAGTGGTTTGACCGCACCAATGCCCACCTCTAACTGCATCAGAATTTCACTCCAACTCGTGGGGGAAAAAATATATGCAGGGGTAGCTGGACAGGGCCAAATGCCTTTATCATAAAATTAGATTGCATTTTGTGCGGTAATGTTCAAAGTCCTTTCTGCTATATCTGAGCAATCACCATATACTCGATTGATTAGCCAGAACAAGACAAAGTCAGTTTATCCCTAAAGAATAAGGATTAGCTATAGTGAGAATCACACTAAATCTAAATTCTCCCACACCCGGGGTTTAGCTATAGCAATCCTAGTTGTAGTCATTATTATTGCAGTTGCAATCTTTGTTATTTTGTAGTTTCAAAACTATAACTTCAGCGCGCAGACTACTACGATTCATGGTTTGCATGATGTACTAACTTTTATAGGGGTAGTACAGTATTCGGTTCCATAATTGGACCATGAGAATGAAGCTGCTATCAATTTATGTCACCTTAATTATGCCACATGCGGAAGAAGAAGTATTGAATTGACTTTGAGATTCAAATCGATTGGGGATCTTGATCAGAGTTGAAATCTATCGATGATATCGATAGATGAACCTCTAGTTCGCTTTCCACTTAATTATTTGAGCACCAACACTAATTACTTTAATTTCTCAGTTAATGGAGCTTATTAATTAATTAATCAAGCACTCATTAAACAAATTTGGGATCTGAGAGTGTGGAGAGCAAGACGAAGTGCTGTTTCAAACGGCCAAATCCCAATATGTGACGCCATACCCACTTAATTTTATTTTTCTTAAATAAAAAAATACTAACTATTTTTTTTTTTTTGGCACATGTTATTTCGACATCAAATAGCTGTTTTTTTTTATTCGGGAAGACCACAATTTGCATTCTAGGTAGCCTGTATTTTCCAATTTATATTAATTACTAAAGTATCAATGTTGGTAATAATTGGTATTGATTATAATGAGATTATTGAATTTTAACTAATATGCACATTGATTGTATATAATTGTCAATTGTCATCTCAAAAAGTATATGCAGTAGTTTCATTGTTACTCAACTCGACAGATTAGTTTGATTACATCCGAGTCTGTCTTCTATTGTCTTACGTTGTTTTTATAAAGAAAATCATATATTCGATTTATAGTTCAGTGAACATATCAATATCATGCTATATTATATAAGAACATATTTGTGCCGTATAATCTGGTCTAAAGGTCTGGTACGGGCCGAACTAGTTAGACCATATATCAAACCATTACTTTATAGTCTAGTTCAGACACTATAGTCCAGTTTGGAACATAATAATTTTTCTTATGGTCTGCTCTATATTCCCAACATTACTTATATATAGGGCTGGGAAACGGTGCGGTCTGGTCCAGATCAGACCATATATGTGATCTATGGTTTAGACCGAGAGGCCACAGACCACAGACAATACGGTCCGGTCCAGACTACGCCTGTGCGGTTTGGTTCGGTCTGGTCTGTTCCAGATAGACCACACTCAACAAAAAATGAATAATTTGTTTAGTCAACCACACAAAAATTGAACCAATAACCAAGAAAAATAATCGTTATTTGCCTTAAAACATTAATCCTAACATGCATGCATAATTTTGATACCCTAAATCATAGTACATAACAAAGATACAAAGTAAAAGCATCCCAACTTGCACCATAACGTCATAAACATTAACATAATGTCATATTGAGACACGATTATCTCTACTCTCTGGTTAAATATAGTTGTAAATGAAGGAGAGACGAGATTCACAAAACTAAGGTTGAGACTTGGGTGTCGTTGTGGGAGTTGGGAGAGTGGTCGAATGGGCTATTAAGTATTAACACGTATTGACAAGTCGGTTGGGTCCACGGTTTGGTCCGGTAAACCGCGGTCTAGACAAGACCAAGAAATCAAAACATAAAATAATACAAACTATGGACTAGACCATACTATACTTAACGGTCTACGGTCCGGACCAAACTGTGCGGTACGGTTTGGACCACGGTTTTTCTAACGGTCTGGTCTATTTTCCCAGCCCTAATTACTTACAAGTAAATACACTTTTTAGATTTTAATCAATATCCTTGATACAATCAACCCAACGAAAATATTGTGGTTGTGGCATTTTGTCATGACTAAAATATACTTACCCAAATGAAATGTTGTGTGTAAGAGCATGCCCATCAAATTTTATTAGACCTTATTCGATTCATGAAGAGTCGTACCATCCAATACCAAATCAAGTTTTCTATCTACGAATCAAGCTGAGTGAACTTATTTGTTGATTATATACAAGAAATACTCATGTAGATCATAATATTAATCGTACTACCTCGAATATCACACAAAATGATCCGAAATACTCCATATATGTGAGAGCATTTCAATGCTAACATTTGACTATATATACAATTATACATATGTATTTTGGATTGCTTTTAGCCCGGCCGTTATTATTATGGGAACTATAAGAATTAATCTTTGAGCACGTCCCAATGCCCACTTTGTCTGCATGCATGGCTGCCCCCGTTGTCGTCTTCATCACATCATGTAACGGTGTTTCAAGGATTGTCAAACCGTACCGGATGAGATTGTAATAAAAAAAATTAGTAATAAGATATTTTATGTTGAAATTATGATACTTATCAATTTAGACTTTTGTTGGAAGTTTTTTTCTGACTGACCATCATGAATGATACGGTGTTTGTTTACGAATTAAGAATAGCAACCCAAATAAGTCACATTTATGAATCATAACAACGTGAAAGAGGACAAATTAAAAGGCGGGAGGATTTACCAAACTAAATCAAGCTAAATCGTGTTGTGGTCCTTGTG